ATAAATACACACAAATAAAAAGATTCCCCATATTTTCCTATATTTTATGGGTTTTTGTCTTCCCCACCACTTCCCATATTTTCCCATATTTTCCTGGGGATCGACGATTAATTGTGTCTGTGTGTTTTTTCCCCTCCTGAAAAATGGGGGGGGGGGGGGGCGGACCCGAAGACCCGGGTTATCGCCTGACCCTTGTCAACAATAATTCTCGCCGAGGAGGAGTATAGGAGGACGGGGAGGGAGGAGCATGGAAGGAGCGTGGAAAAGGAGGGCGCGAAGGGAGAGAAACATGCAACATAGGAGGCATGAGGGAGGAACACAGGAAGGATGACTGCACGAATGCAAAACTTACGAAACAACACACTGACCTGGGAGACAAAACGTCGGGCTGTCCAGACAACCGACGTCAGGTCTTCATTCACAACGTGCATCCCCGAAAATATGGACCTCGCCATCCCAGTGGGCAAAAGCCTTTGCCCTCAATCGTTTTTCGGTGGCCCCGGACTCGGTTGGGCTCAGAAGCGGTAGGGCCTTCTCGTCACCGTTTCCGAAAACATGTCTCTTGAAAATTGAAGCGGTAAAAGAAAGGCAGTCGGAAACTGCAAAAAACGGCCCTGGAATTGGAGCCATAACTGAAATCAACAGAAAAACAATGGCATAACCAAACAAACAAACGGCGCCAGAACTGGCAGACCAAAAACGGCAAAGCAGAACCGGTAAAACAACGGCCCTGTCGTTTCCAGCGTCCACGAAGGACCCGGAGGCTGAAAGTGCCAACCTCTCATCGCGATGTTCTGCACAACGCGAGGATCGGGGCGGACGAACAGGAGAGGGGGTGCGAAATCCGCTCACGCAGCGGGTCTTTCCAGCGTCTCGCGGCGCAGGGGGGGCGCCAACGCATTGAGGAAGAGCTCCCGGCGGCAAGGTCGAAGCCCATCCCTGTCCTTTGCGACCCGAGAGGACGTCAGGGTTGGAGCCGGCTGGGGGTCTTAGTTGGGCTTCGCTTAGTGGAGGGGCGATAGGTGGGGGGAGAGAGGTACACTTTTTGGGACCCTACAGGCCCCCTCTTGGGCCCCAAAGGGCCGTTTGGGGCCTTAGACTGCTCCTCTTCTGCAGCCCTCGCTGTCTCCATATTGGTCGCTTTCTCATCAAACGACGTCCAATAAGGTAGCTCGGGGGGAGGGGGGCAGGTTCGAGGCTCTGGGTTCGGGAAGATTTCTCGTCTTCGTCGAAAACGAATCCGGGGTGAAACTCTGAGCCAGATGGATCCCCGGGAGGGGTCTGGGGTCCAGAAACCGATTTTGAAAGGATTTGGCTCCAACCCCCCTTCTGGCCGATTGTCCAGGGCGCAAGCCAGTTCAGTCCCCCCGACCGCACGCAACGGTAAGTGTGAATGTCCCGAATGTTGGCCAAGATTTCGTCCCGACTTGTTTTGTTGACAGTCCTGGGGCCTGGCGAGGGCCCTCAGAGGCCGAACGCTGTAGACAACAACTCCATCTGTTTTTCTTCAATGTGCTAAGAGTCCTGGGCAACGTCGCGGGCGGGCAGCAACAACACCACAATCGCACTAACCACCGAACAGATCAGACACGGGAGGCCCCGCTCAAATCTGCCCAGAACCCCGCCTGGCTGGCCTTCGCGCGGCGCGCGGCCCCAGACTCCCGACGCCGCGATCTTATCACAGCGTGGGGCCCTCGAGGTTTGGAGGCTCCCCTTGCCGTGGAAGCCGAGGTGCTGGATGGCCAGCCACCAGATGCTGGTGTTGATGTGCTGGCTGCTGGCTCCACTCATCCTCTTGCTGCCCTTCTTCGGGTTCCGAGCGCCATCTCCCGAGGGCTGGTGCTTCGTCCCGTGCCGTTGTTTGATGGCCCTGGCCCCGCGAGGGCCCCCAGATGATGAGCAGCAAAAGGGCCCCTGACCCTTTGAGAGCGGACCTAAATGAGGTCCAACACTAGAGGGGCTTTTTGTCGCGGGTGTACCAAACCAAACCGCCCAAATTGATGATCCCTGATGCAAACAAAAGGACCTCACTGAGGCAACGTCTCCACTGTGCTGTTAGGGTTAGGTTTTCTCTTATTCTCGATGACCAGGAGGCCAACAATCATTACAACACATCCGTCGCGTTCTTTGGGAGGCACGATGTCATGGGGAAGCCAGAATGTCCCGACACCGCCACTTCCCAAGCCTCGCCTGGGGTGCGTTCTGACCAGGATATTGAATATACTGCCAACCCTGAAAATGAGGAAGCGCGGTAAGGACGCAAGGGCCTTGGAGGGCCATGCAAACGCTTTTCGAACGATTTTAGCAAGCGAAAACTGCTAGAGGTGTGCCGAAAGGGCAAGGATGCAGGGGTAGCATAGGGAAATTGCTCACTCTTAATTGCTCTGCGGGTCGACTGTAATCAAGCCGTGGTGGCGACGGCGCGCCACATCGAGCAATGGTGTCTTGGGCGTCGCTTTGATGGGGGATAAGAAACGGGGGGGGGGGGAAGAAAGGTGCACTTTTCGGCCCCTCAGGGGCCCCCCATCTGGGCCCTGAGGGACCCCTTTGGGGGCCACTTTCTGCAGCCTTCGCGGCCCTTCCACCCCCCCAGCACGTGACGCCCAATCTCCGCATCGAGCAGCGGGGGGGTAGGAGGAGCAGGAGGAGGAGGAAGAGGAGGGAGGAGGAGGAGGAGGAGGAGGAGGAGGAGGAGGAGGAGGAGGAGAAGCAGGAGGAGGAGGAGGAGGAGGAGGAAGAAGAGGACGGGTCGCCTAAGCCATTCGGAGAAGCCCTTCTCTCCACATCGAGCAGCGGTGGTATTTCGTCCTCCTCCGAATCGCGATCCCGTCACGGCGCGAGGATGCCGGCGGTGCGCGGCCGCGCTCGGACGGGCACGGGCGCCCCCTCCCCCCCCCGAGAGCGCGCGGGCGCGCGCGCGCGAGGGGGGGGGGGAATTTTGCTGCGTCCGTGTCTCCACAGGGCGAACCGTGGGCGCCGCGGCGCGGAGGGCACCACACGCCGGTCGGAAGAAGTAGGTAAAACACATGGAGCAGGCAGGCGGATCACGCGGGCTGGGAGGCTGTCCCCGGGAATGCCGATAGACACAGCGAAATCGTGTCGATTCTTGAATTAGGAAGGCGTTTGACATAGACTGGGATCTGGGAATCCAGAAATACCTACTTCCAACGACCGGCGTGTATCGGGTCGGGCGAAAGGGGGGGATAGCAAAGGGGGGGGGTTGAGAATCAGCTCACGTAGCTGATCTTCCCGGCGCCTCCCGGCGCCGGAGGCGGCTATGCATCGAGAAATGGCCCCCTCGGTGAGGCCGAAACCAGCTGCATGCAGCAGATTTCGTAACCCCCCCCTTTCCCAATCCCCCCCTTTCGCCCGGCCCGAGTGTAAGGGGTGGAGGGAGTGGCGAGGAGCGCGTGCGATGGCGCGAGGAGCTACTCTCGGGATGGAGGCGCCCGCGGGCGAGCGCCCCTCGAGGCGGGAGGCGCAGCAGCTTGCCGCACCACTACCGGGTGCGCAGAGCTCGAGACGAGTCAAGGGCGTGAAAAAGGATCTCTGTGTCGCCATCGGCAAGGGTCGGGAGCGGCCAAGAGGGGGGTGTCCAGGAGGGGGGGGGGTGCAGATCATGACCGGCGGCATGTGCACGGCCCAGCTGGGGAGCCTGGGACGTAATGAAACAAGAAGAGGCGCCATGAAATCTGGGGAAATATCATGGCCCGCGCCATGACATCCACCCCCCCCTAGTCATCACCCCCCTCGAACGTGGACGAGGGAGGGATGTTTTCACAAAGTCGTGATGCTTTCGCAACCAGGGGCGGCCAGAGAACACAAACCTGAAACGTCGTGGTGCTTTCACAGCGTGGCGCCCCAGAGGTCTGGGCCCCTTTCCCAATGGATCCGCCTTTCATCCTGATCTGTCTTCCACGGGCCCGTGTGAAGGGGCCCCAGGACACACACACACAAATAAATACACACAAATAAAAAGATACCCCATATTTTCATGTATTTTCTGGGTGTTTGTCTTCCCCCCAACTTCGCATATTTTCCAATATTTTCTTGGGAATCCGCAATTCATTGTGTTTGTGTGTTTCTTCCCCTCCTGACCGTGGCCCTGCCCGGGCCCGTGGAGCGGCAGGAACATGCAGAACACCTCGCGCCGTTTTGCTCTGTTTCTCTTCGCGACGCGAGGATGTGAGGGACAGCGTTGAAGGGGCCCTGGGACACACAAATAAATACACACAAATAACAGGATTCCCCATATTTTCTCATATTTTCTGGGTTTTTGTCTTCCCCCCCACTTCCCATATTTTCCCATATTTTCCTTGGAATCGACGATTAATTGTGTCTGTGTGTTTTTTCCCCTCCTGAAACGTTGAAGGGGACCCGGCCCTGGGACACACAAACAAATAGACTCAAAGAACAATATTCCCAACATGTTCCAATCGTTTCTGGGTCTTCGTCTTCCCCCCCCGTTCCCATCTTTTCCCATATCTTCAGGGGAATCGACGACTCATTGCGTCTGTGTGTGTTTTTGTTCCCTCCTGAAGCGTTAGGGGGGGGGCTGGCGCAAGGGGAGAAACATCGAGCGGGAATCGACCATGCATCGCCGATAGACCGGCAGATACCCTGATCGCGACTCCGAACGCCGGGCGGGGCGGGGCTGTCGAGGGCCCCTCTCGGGGACCAGCGGGCGCGAAGGGCCGATGCATCCCTCCGTGGGCCCATCCTCTCCCACAATCGGGTCGAGCGAAAGGGGGGGATAGCAAAGGGGGGGTTTGAGAATCAGCTCACGTAGCTGATTTTCCCGGCGCCTCCCGGCGCCGGAGGCGGCTATGTATGGAGGAATGGGCCCCTCGGTGAAGCCGAAACCAGCTGCATGCAGCAAATTCCGTAACCCCCCCTTTCCCAATTCCCCCCATTTCGCCCGGCCCGAACCACGCGGAGGCGCCACAAGAGCACTGGACGGCGACGACGGCGGCGACAACGGCGGCGTCGCCCAGCCGCCGTCACCGCCGCAGGGCCAGGCTTCCCTGGATGACCTCCTCTGGAGGAATCTGGTCCTGGCGGGCCGCTGAGGGGGCGGGAACGACCAGGGGCAAACAAAATCTACAACGGCGAAGTCGACCATTCACTGGACGAGCCATGTGTACATCGGAGGCGACGAGAGGGGCGAATAGCCCAGGGGGGAACAATACATGTATCTAAAGGTGCCGATGATCCATGTCTTCGACAAGGCTCCCGGGCGAATACGTGTAATGCCCGCCCCTGGGCTATTTGCCCCGATCGGCGCCGCCGAATACACCGGCCACCCTCGCTCACCCACCTCGAATTTGCAGCGTTCACTGGCGGAATGGTGGTTCGCCGGCTGTCTGAGAGCGCGCTCCTGAGCCTCCGCGGCACCACGTTTCATGCTCCGCCAACGCTCCACTAGGAAACCCTTCAGGGTTCAACTGAGGGAGCCTGCAGGATCAACTGAGGTATCCTGCAGGATCTTGAGGGGTCCTCAAGGATCAACCGAGGGCTCTTGAAAGAACAACTGAGGGATCCTGAAAGGTCAACTGAAGGGAACCCTCCTACTTCCTCCTCCTATTCTTCCTCCTCCACCTCCTCCTCCTCCCCGTCCTCCTCCTCCTCCTCCTCGTCATTATCCTCCCCGTCCTGGTTTGTTTCCTCCTCGTCCTCCTGCTAGCTCCTCCTACGTCCTCCCGTTTCTCCTACCTCCCCCTTGTCCTCCTCCTCCTACTCCTGTCCCTGCCAGTCCTCACCCTCATGTTCCAATCTGGAAGTTTCCTTATGCTCACCACCATCCTTATCATCGATATAATCATCAAACCATGATAGCCATCATCATCACCATCATCACCACGCTTATCATCACAACCATCATCACCATCATCATCATTATTATCACCATTAAGATAACCATCATCATCATTATCAGCATCCTCATCGTCCTCATCATCATCATGCTCACCATCATCATCACCACCATCAAAACACTCGCCGTTGTCATCGTCACAATCATCACCTGTAATACCGTCATCATCCCCATCACCAGTCATCATCATCATCATCATCATCATCATCATCATCATCATCATCATCATCATCATCATCATCATCATCGTCATCATCGTCATATTATCATCCCGTTGTCGCCGTCATATCCCTCATCATCACCAGCATCATTATCCTCGGAGTACTAGTGTGCAACGATCTGTGTACTCAACCAGTCCCCGCATCACAACACAGAGCAATCCACATTGTTCTGTTAAGAGCCTCCAGCCAGTAGGTCCGCTTCGCCAGTGAAGCCGCGCGGCCCATGTAGACAAGGTTTGGCCGGTGTAGTGTTAGATTGGCCGGCGTAGGCCATTATGGCAACGATCGTGGGAGGGGGACTGGCTCATGCAGGGGGAAAAATCGATCTGGAATCGGCGATGCATCGCAGATAGATCAGCGATCAACCCCAAGTGCCGACTCCGCACGTTCCTGGGCGGCGGGATGTCGGGTCGCCATCGGCAATCGACGGGCGGTTGGGGGTCAAAACGTCCCCCCCTCCCCTGAGCCCATTACCCCCCTATTAGACGATCGTTCTGGGGACTTTCTTGGAGACACTCGCTCCACTCGTTCGTCGAAGCTGCGTCGAACGTCCGCCGACCCGCGTCGAACCTGAGTCGAACTTGAGTCGAACCTGAGTCGAACCTGAGTCGAAGTTGAGTCGAAGTTGAGTCGAACAGATCCATTATGTAGGCCCCAGAAAGGTCCCCAACACGAGCATCGAACCCCTGGCGCTGCCACTGATGAAGCGGGGGGGCCATAGGAGGGGCTGCGCGCAGGAGTGGCCCCCTGCAAGAGTGACCTCTGGCGAGCGGCCTGCCGACCGCTGCACACGAGGAGCGACAGCCGCGCACCCAAGGTCACTCCGGCGGGGGGCCACCTCTGCGTGCAGTGTCAAACACCGGCGACACAAATCAATATGGTGGGAAAGCAAAACATGCGCAGGGGGGACAGTTCCGCGGGGGGAAACGTCGAGACTGCATCAACGATACCTCGCCGATAGATCGGCGGTAGACCCCTGACAGCGAGCCCGCACGCGCGTGGGCAATTTGGGCCCCGTGGGCAGTTTGGGGATCTCGGCGTTTTTTTCTACAATCGCTGCAACGCGATTATAGAAAAAAAGAAGGCGGGGCAAACCGGACCGCCGGGGACGTCCCCGCGACCGCTGTGGCGCTCTACGTGCATGGGCGGAATCCTGCGCAGCCCCTCTCGGCGCCAGGCGGCGCCTGCCAAGCCCTGAGAACTTGGCACGGATAGAGACTGCGCTCAGGGACAACCCCCTGCGCACCCTCTCTGGGTCGCGAGCGTGCTACACCTGACACGCCCTGCTACCTGGAGTGGATCGAGACCGCGCTCAGGACCACTCCATGCATGCACTCCCTCCGGCGACCGCGCGCACGCGCGCGCAGTCAAGCGCGCACGTACGTACAGTGTCCCAGTAACAAAAAAACTGCCCACTCGTCGACCGAAGCAGCCTGCACATATGCACTCATACAGTTCATATGCATATAGCAATACATGAGCATGCGTTCGTATACTCACCTATATGTATACAAACATACATGTGTGTATCTATCAATCGTATCGTTCGGTCTCCGTGGGATATTTTCCAGGGGGGAACTCAAAACATCTTCGGCGGCGAATTAATGGCAGTCGGGGGGTGCATCATTGGTTTAACAGGTTTTGGACATTTGTCGAAGAGGATGACCATGGGTCGTGAACAAAAACGGTGGGGTCATTGCGCGAACGCAGGGGGAATGGCACGGGCGAAAAAAATAAACGACGAACGTATATTTGTGATAAACCGCTGAACGCGACAGCGTGGACGAACAAAGAGGCGGACGCGGAGGAGTGGCAATGGCGCCGTGCGGCGATCCCCTGCGGCCCAACGGGCCAGATGCGAGCGCAGCGCCACAACATGGCAGCCCACGAGGGTGAAAAAAGAAACCCTCACAGCCGCCGACGAGCTCTGCTGTGGCCCCAGAGGTCCTGACCGCCTCCCCGGGGGCAGCGCTTCGCCCCGGATGCCTTCTCGACGGCCCCTGGGCGCAGAGACGGGCCCCAGAGGCCGGCATCGAGGAAGATCGCCGCGGCTTGGAAAAGGCGCATGGTCGGAGACCTGGGGACGGGCGGTGGAGGGAGGCAGGGACTGGGTGGGGGGGAGAGGGGCGTGAGCGACGGAGGGGGGGAGGCCAGGGGAAGGCAAGGGCTGGGGTGAGGCCTTGTCGTCGGTCCCAACTCCAGAGAGGAGCCCCGCCGCACTCCTCCTTCTCCTTGTCATCGCCCCTCCGGCTTCTGGCTGCTCCACCTCCGCCGCCTGTGCTCAGCCTCCGCCCTCCACCCCCCTCCAGTCTTCACGGGGCCGGTTCTCCTCATTCCCCCTCATCGTCATCCACGCCTTTTCCCATGCACAGAATCCCTTTACTCCTGCCTCCTCCTCCTCCTCCTCCTCCTCCCTCCCACCCTAGGGGGGGAATATGCTGCTCCTCCTTCTCCTCCTTCTCCTCCTCCTCCTCCTCCTCCTCTTCCTCTTCATAGTCCTGCCCTTCTTCCCACTCCTTTTGCTCCCCACTCGTGAATCATCCTGTTTCTCATCCCCCCTCCTCCCGCTCCCCCTCCCCTTCCCCATCCTCCCCCCCTCCTCCTCCTCCTCATCCTCCTCTCCTCTTTTATAATACATGCATATCTAAAAAAATCTGGGATGCGGCGGAGGGCAAGCGAGTAGACAGTGTATAGCTCGAGTCTAGGACGAGACGAGGAAGAGACAACGGAAGAGCAGACTGAGAGGAGGCAGTAAGACAAGGAGGGAGATGAGAGGGACGACATCTCAAGATTTTGATGCGGCAAGACAGGCCTCCGTCTGCTCGGCTTGGGCCCAAGGGCCGCACCATGTGATTCTCAGAGGGGGGAGGATTTCAAGGCAAACCCAGCGGTGGCGACTAGGATCCCCCAGGAGGCCCAGGAAGTGAGGAGGAGGAGGAGGAGGAGGAGGAAGGGCACCGGCATCGGTAACTGTTCCCTCTCAGAGTTTGCCCGCGGCGAGAGAACGTCAGGGGATGGCAGGCTAGGCGTGCCAGGCGGCGCGGTCGCCTCCTCCGACTCGCCAGCGTCGAGCGGCCCGAAGGCGATGTCCACGTCGTCCGCCTCCACCGCCTGTTGCATGGGCCGCGGCAGGGCGCAAGGGCCGCCCCGAGGCGGGTCGGCCCCAAGAGGTAAAGCACGACGACCACGACGACAACCACGACGACGACCACGACGACCACGACGACGACGAATACCACGACGACCACGACCACGACGGCCACCACGACGACGACCACGATGATAATGTCGACCACGACCACGACCACCACCACCACGACGACGAAAACCACGACGATGACCACGATGACCACGATCAAGACCACGGCGACCACGACGACGACGAAAACGACAACGACCACGACCACGACGAAAAACACGACGACCACGACGACGACGAATACCACGACGACCACGACCACGACGGCTACGACCACGACGACCACGATGACGACGACGACGACGACCACGACCACAACGACCACGAGGACGAAGACCAAGACGACGACCACGATGACCAGGCTCAAGACCACGGCGACCACGACGACGACGAACACGACAACGACCACAACCACGACGAAGACCACGACGACCACGACGACGAATACCACGACGACCACGACCACGACGGCCACCACGACGACGACCACGATGATAATGTCGACCACGACCACGACCACCACCACCACGACGACGAAAACCACGACGATGACCACGATGACCACGATCAAGACCACGGCGACCACGACGACGACGAAAACGACAACGACCACGACCACGACGAAAAACACGACGACCACGACGACGACGAATACCACGACGACCACGACCACGACGGCTACGACCACGACGACCACGATGACGACGACGACGACGACCACGACCACAACGACCACGAGGACGAAGACCAAGACGACGACCACGATGACCAGGCTCAAGACCACGGCGACCACGACGACGACGAAAACGACCACGACCACGACCACGACGAAGACCACGACGACCACGACGACGACGAATACCACGACGACCACGACCACGACGGCCACCACGACGACGACCACGATGACGACGACAACGACCACGACGACCACGACAACAACGACCACGACGACCACGACGACGACGACCACGACGACGACCACGATGACCACGATCAAGACCACGGCTACTCGCTTTTCAGCGGAGAACGTTTGATGGCAGAGGCCGGCTGGATGCATATGCTAAGAAGGCTGAGGCTTGAAATCCAACTCCCAGCGGGAGTGCTCAGGCGGGTGAGGTCGGGGGGTTAGCTTGAGCAACATTACGGCGACAGACGAAAACCTGTTAGCAAACACGTGCGACGCAGAGACGTGCTACTCGCTTTTCTGCGGGGAACGTTTGATGTCAGAGGCCGGCTGGATGCATATGCTAGGAAGGCTGAAGCTTGAAATCCCAAACCTTTCGCAAACACGGAAGTTCACAGCGAAGCGGCTGGCGGCTTTAACCTGGCAGAAAAGTCCGCCTCCGAGACCCCACGAGGACGGGAGCAGGGGATCGGCGGAGTGGCGTTACCTACTGTTTCCCAAGAGGGATCTCGCAAGGAAATCGCACAGCCTCGAAGGATACTTGGCGGCTCGGCTAGTCATCGAAAAACCTACGAGTGTCAAATGTTTCTTACCAAGTCTAAAGCTTGTTTGCCCGTGCAGCGGAGTCTCCAGGACTCCATTCGAAGCAAGTCAAGATCCACTACATTCAGGAAAAGGAGATCTGTAGCCTTCCGATATCTGGTTCCGAAAGCGCACTGATGAATTGTGATCCTAGTGAGATTCTCTACAGCTCGATTGAGCGACGGGTCCTGCCAGAGCCTGGAGGTCTGCGGGTTCTCTAGGGCACAGGGAACCGAAAAACGCCTACAGGCCCTGATGACGGCAATACAAGTATCCAGACACCTATTACCTATGTCGACCTTGAGACGGCCAACTGCAGACAGATTCGGGAGACCACGAATGTGTAAAGCATCGCGCACAGGGAAACGATTCCGTGCCACAGAGAAAGTTGAGCACGGAGGAGCCATCATCACAGCGGCCACTCGGCCTGTCGATATATGTCGGATCATCGTTCTCACATTCTGCTTTTAGGTGAGATCCTGATCAAGAGAGTTGCGCAAGTCGAGGCTAACCGTTGGCATGCTCCAGCGCCGTGCCGCGCGCCGAACACCGCCACCGCCTCCGAACAAATCCAGCAGGTAGCGGCCTGGCGCGTCTAGGAGGGCCTGGCACGCTTCGGCGCGGGGCCGGCCTCCCTCCGCGCCCGCGGCGGCAGCGGCGGGGCGGCGCCCTGCAGGAAAATGCCCTCCAGGGACCGCAGGCAGACTGCCACGCGGTCCTGATCCTTGCGACTGAGCTCGTTCCACGCCTGATTCACGCGCCCCGCCTTCTCGTAGCGGCGGACGCTCTTCAGGGCCTGCCAGCGGCCCCGCTTTACCACCTGCTCCTGGGTCCGCAGGCCCTCCGCGCGGTCCGCGCTGGCCCCTGTGCGTCGGCCCTGGCACGGCACCACCGCCCAGCCCAGGCGGGCGCAAGCCCTCCTGAAGACCGACACGTACTCGCGGTAGGTCCAGCCCAGGAGGCGGTCCGATCCACGACGGCGGGAGACCGCGCGGTACACGCTGTCCATCCAGACGAACCTGCAGGAGTCGAGGGGGATGCTGTCGTCGCTCTCCCCTGTCTTGCTCCTCAGGTTCCCCTCCTGGGGGAACAGCAGCAGCGCCCAGCTCGCCACCCCGCCGGGGGCCGGCGGCAAGAAGGACCTCGGCGTGAGGCCCAGCATCTCCCCCGGCCGCAGGTAGCACTCCACCATCACCAGCGACGGGGCGGCGGCCAGGAGGTAACCCATGCGGGCCATCTCCACGCAGATCGCGGCCCGCATCCCGATCGTCAAGGGCCGCCTCGAGTGAGATGGCGACGCCTTGCACCGCCCCTTCAGAGCCCGGAGAGGACGAGGAAGGTGGTCCGCTCCATGCCGCCCGTACTGAGGTCGATGGAAGATCACGCCCGCCAGAAGCTTCTCTCCCCTCCGGCTCTTGTGCCCGCTGTCGAACTCGCGGTTCATGAAGGACGCCAGGGCGGCGTCGAGCTCCGCGGGGCGGTCCAGGATCGCGTCCGAGGAGTGGTGCCAGCTCAAGAACTCTTGGACGCGCTGGCGGTACTGGGCAGCAGCCGCCGGCGTCACCGACCTCGCCTCCAGCGGCGCGAGGCGGGATGAGAGCGGCCCGCCGTCCAGCAGCGCGGCGAGGGCCTGGCGCACGTGGCCCTTCCCGCGCCGGCTCAGGCAGCGCCGTCTCGCCGCGGCGGCCGCCCTCTCCTCGGGGTCCGAAGAGTCGTCGCTCTCCTCGCTGGCGCCCGCGGCCTCGGCACCCCCGCGGGCGGGCGCGTCGGCCCGCGGGCCTGGCCCCGCCCCCGCTGGGAGCTCCTCCGCGCGCCGCGCCAAAAATGCCTCGGTGCTCTCCTCGGCGCCGGCGTGCCCCCTCGGACTCGACACCGCCGAGCGCGCCAGCAGGCGGTCGCTCAGGGCCCGCTCCAGAGTCAGGACGCGGATGCGAGCGGGCGCCACCTCCGTCGTCGGTCTGGCCTCCGAGGCAGTCCAGCAGCGCCTGCGCGAGGACGGTCTGACATCGCTACGTTGTGTCGGATCTGAGGTCGGCAACTGGTTGGAGCCAACATGTCTACGAAGGGGAGGGCGAAGAGGGGAGAAGCACTGATCAACGCCACTGGGGCCTTCCTCGCCCTCGAGATGCGCCTCTGGGCCCTCAATCAGGGGCCCCAAGTGGGAAACGAGAATCTTGTCGGCATTTTAAGACGCGTCAAAAACTCTGCCACCTTCGCCGCCCGAGTTAAACTCGCTGGGGACCCAGCGGAAATACAGGCGGACATTGCGAGCAAGAGACAAACTGAAAAGTCGCCTTAGTTGCCCAAGCACCCTGTAGTCCCTCGACCTACCCCGAGCAAAACAAAGAGTGATGGCAAGGTTGTCACCGAGCAAGAGCACTCGACAATTTTTCACCGAAAGAATGTGAAGTGCGCGGGCTCCCGCTTTGACGACCGCCCGGGCTTCCAGGCGCAAGATGTCATCAGCGTGGAGCCAGCGATCAGCAAGGATGGTGTGCCAGCGATCCTTCGCCAGCAGGCTGCTGGGCACCTCGGGGAAGTCATCGTTGTGCTCCCAGCGCGCAGCCTCCAAGATCTCGCGCGCCTCCCTGTCGAGCCGCACGGGCCGCCCCAAGAAATCGCGCTCCACCTCGCCGCTCTCTGGGTCGACCTTGAAGCCGGCCACCTCGAAAGCGTGCTCGCGGGCGCGGGTGCCGCCCAGGCGGTAGCGGCTGACCTCGGGCACGCGCCCAACAGCTGCGACGTCCGCGGTCGACCACAGGGGCTGCGACACCCCGAAGCCGTGGAGGCTGGCGTCGCTAGCGTAAGCGTAGGGCGTCCAGGGCTGCTCCCAGTCGGCCTCGATGAAGACCATCGCCCCCACGAAGGCCACGAGCTCCTCTCGGGCAGAGGTCCACAGCGGCTGGAACCTGCCGTAGGACTCCCGCACGAAGCGGTACACGACGTGGAAAATCGATAGGAGCTCGCGACGCATGAGGCACAGGAGGGTGATGTGGCCCAGGACCGCCTCCAGCTGCCAGCCGGCGACCTTCCTGAGTCGCAACAGGGCGCGCACGCCCTGCCGCACCAGACCGAAGCGCCGGCTGCCGGGGCGGGCCACCCGGCTGTCGCCGTCCAGGTGCCACCCCGGAGAACTCCCACCGTGCTCGAGGACCTCCATCTCGTGGAAGCGCAGCGCGTCGTGGTCGAAATCCCGCTGAGCCTCGGCGAGAGCCTGTCGGACCAGACCGCCATCGAAAGACATGGCGCCAGCGTTGTCCACGTGCGTGCAGTGGCCGGCCTGCTCCATGACGCGGGAGCCGCCGAACACCAGGGAGGGCCCGCGGTCCGAGAGCTCCTGGCTTCGGACCAGCGAAGGCTGACGTCCCAGACGAACTGAGTTAGCGGTCTGGGCAAAATGCAGTGACCACGAGAAACCCACCGGTAGGCTGGCGCACGTCGGCCAGATCTTCTGGCCTGGCTCCAGCGGGACGCCGTCGAGCTCGGTGAGGCCTGCGTGCCGTGCCGCCAGCGGTGGCCAGCAGAAGTAGCGTCGGATGTCGCCGCCCGCAGTCTTCGCCAACCTCATCCTGTGGAAGCAGTCGGCCACGTCGCCGACCCCGAGATGCAAAGGGAGCCCGTGCAGCGAACCCTCGGAGTCGTCGATCTCCACCCTGGCCAGCCCCTCGCCGCTCAGGAGGGCGACGCTAAGGGGCTTGTGGAACATTGGTTGGCACGACGACAATCCACAATCAACCTGAGCTTGTCGGCCTTCTTGGTGACAAAGAACACGCCCAAAGCACAGGCGGGATCACGAGTGAAGGTCACCAGGCCGATGTCCGCGGCCCTCCGCACAAGGCGGCCGTAGGCGCGGGGATTCTTCTGCAGCGCCGGGTCAGTATGGCAGCCCGGCACCCCTTCAAACTGACGACTTAGTTCCGACTCCTGCGCGGGCCGGAGCATATGCTTCTCGAAATCCTCGAGCTGTATCCTCGCCTCCGAAGGCAGCATGGAGATGAGCGACGGAGCATTGTGCAAGTCGCCCGGGAGCGAAACCTTCGAGTACTCGTAGGACCCGACACTGCATGACGGCGACGGCGTATAGCCCGAGCGCCCCTTCAACAGCCTGGCCAAGGCTCCACGCTCGCTGACGGCGCTGTCAACGTCGCACCAGCGGGCTGCCGCCTCAACAACGCGCTGCCGCACATCAGCCTGAAGGCCCAAAATCTTGCGCTCAGTCGCCGACGAGATCCTGTGGGGGATCGGGCGGTAGGCGCTACCATGCATCCAATTCAGCGCGTCGATCGCCGCCTCGATGTCGCGAAGCAGCCGCCGGCGCCGCCCGCCTGTCACCTCCGGGGGAAGGCCCGCGGCTCGCAGCGGGGGCAACGGCAAGAACGCGCACGCCCTGCGGGGTCCTCGGGCGACGATCGGGCCGTCGTGGCCCTCTGGCGGCAGCGTCATGTTGCCGGCGGCCGCGAGCCGCGCCCACGACCGCCTCTACCGCGTCCTCGACCTCGACCCTCGGCTCCTCCAGCAGCATCTCCGTCGACCTGCGAGGGGGGCGCGCCCGCCGGCGTCGCCGCCGCCGTCGCGTCGGCCCCAGCATGGGCCGCTGCGCCGGGCTGCCGGGCGCGGGCGCGCACGCTCTCCAGCTCCGCCTCCTCCCTGGCCCGCCTCGCCGCATACATGCGCACGTCCTCGGGCACCAGGTCCAGGGCCGAGGTGGTCGCGCTGAAGTGCTTCGCCGCGCTCCAGTTGGGGTTGTCGGCGCCCTTCGCGCACGCCTCTACGTACTGCAGCAGCCGGCGGGACACCGCCTCCAGCGCCGCGACGGCGCCCATGTTGAGCTGGTCGAAGGTGCCCGACTGCCACAAGGCCTCGATCAGGCACTCGACCTCGTGCCAGGACCTGTCCTTCCTGGCGATGCCCACCTCGCGAGCCCACTCGGCGAACCATGCCTTCGGGTCCCCGCCGTGCTTGAAGAACTTCCTGCAGATGGCGAGGCACACGGGGGGCCCCTTGAGGCCAGCGGTCTGCAGGCTCTCCTGGGTCGCCTCGTGCAGCACCTTGCGCCACTCCTTGAAGCGGATCCCCGCGTCGTCGTAGTCGATCCAGCACGCGCGAAGATCATCGCCCGGGTCCTCCTGCCCAAGGGGCGGCGAGCGGCCGAGGGCCGCCGGGCCAGCAGGGGGGGGCTGTCCCCGAGCAGGCGCTGCTCCAGGGCACCCTCGCCTCCGCGGTTGCGGGCCGCGCCGCGCAGCTTCGCCTCCCGCCACTCGCCAGCGCCACTGATCTCCACCAGCTCCGCGGGGTGGTGGTTCCCAGAGGCGTCCGTGACGATAGCGAAGCGCCCCCGCTGGCAGGCGTCCGAGCCCAGGAGCACCTCGGTGCCGAAGGCGAACTCCCCCGGGGGTGCGGCCAGGTCGCTGCTCAGCCAAGCGAAACCCTCGGGGGCCGAGGGGGGGGTGGCGGTGCCGCCCACGGGCGGCGGCTCGGCAGGCGGCGGCAGCGGGAGCGCCGCGGGCTCCTGCTTCCCTCGCAGGCGGACCCGAGGCGCGTGCACCACCGAGTGCGGCGGCAGCGGCAGCCGCCGGCCCCGCCAGTCCACGGCCACCGTGATGTCCTCCACCACGGCCCCCTCCAGCACCGCCGCCTCTGCGCGCGCCCGCTTGACCAGCTCCGCCACCTCCTCGGGCTCCAGCGACCTGCTGAAGGCCACCACCTGAGGCACGCCGGCAGGGTAGCCCTTCCGCCCTGTGAGCAGGGCGCTGCTGCTGTAATCCGGTAGGCTCTCCACATAGAGGTCGCCGCCCGGCGTGTAGACGAAGAAACCAGGCCCCTCCCCCTCCGTAGCCGTCGGCCAGAGGAAGAGGCGCTCGTGGGCCCAGCCGGGGTCCGAGGCGAAGGTCACCAGGCCCCGGGCACCCGGGAGAGGGTTCACGACCTCCTCGAACCTCGAGCGCCGTCCCAATCGAATCATCACTTGATCTGCAGGCGGGTCTCCCCGAGCGGCAGCCGCTTGCGGGCCTCGCTAGCCCGCCTGGCGCAGCTGCGCCACGCGCAGACTCCTGCAGCGACCTCCAGCGCCGCCAGCAGCGCGAGCAGCAGGCCGCTGGGCACCTCCACGGTCGAGCCCGCCACGCCCGTGCCCAGGACGCGGAAGCTCTCCGGCTCCGAGGCCGGGCAGGCGCACGGCGCGGCCGGCGCCACGAGCCAGCTGGTCGAGGTCCCAGCACTCGAAGTGGTGCTGGTCACGGTGGTGGTGGTGGTGCTGCTGGTCCAGAGAGAACCCACGAGACCGCCGGGGCACCCGTCGCCGCCCCACCAGTTCGCTGGATGCAGGAACACGCCAGTGAACAGAGCGAAGGTGATCGCGGCGGTGCTGGTGGTCCCAGCAATCATGCTAGGGCTTCTAGCTTGAGCCACATTACGGCGACAGACGGAAACCTGTTAGCAAACACCTGCGACGCAGAGACAAGCGACCACGACGACGACGAACACGACAACGACCACGACCACGACGAAGACAACGAATACCACGACGACGACGAATACCACGACGACCACGACCACGAAGGCCACCACGACGACGACCACGATGACGACCACGACGACCACGACAACGACCACGACGGCAAGGACGACCACGACGACGAAAACCACGACGACCACCACGATCAAGACCACGGCGACCACGACGACCACGAAGACGACCACGACCACGACCACGACGAAGACCACGACGACCACGACGACGACGAATGCAACGACGACTACGACCACGACGGCTACCACGACGACGACCACGATGACGCCGACGACGGCGACCACGACGACCACGACAACGACGACCACGACGACCACGACGACCACGACGACGACCACGATGACCACGATCAAGATCATGGCGACCACGACGACGACGAAGACGACCACGAACACGACGAAAACCACCAAGCTGACGAATACCACGACGACCACGACCACGACGGCCACCACGACGACGACCGCGATGAGAACGACGACGACGACCACGACGACCACGACCACGACCACCACGACGACCACGACGACGAAGACCACGACGACGACCACGTGGACCACGAACAAGACCATGGCGACCACGACCACGACGAAAACAACCACGACCACGACCACGACGAAGACCACGACGACCACGACGACGACGAATACCACGATCACGACAGCCAACACGACGACGACCGCGATTACGACGACGACGACCACGACGACCACGACCACGACCACGACGACGACGAAGACCACGACGACCACGACCATAATGACCACGATCAAGACCACGGCGACCACGACGACGACGACGAACACGATCACGACCACGACCACGACGAGGACCACGACGACCACGACGACGACGAATACCACGACAACCACGACCACGACGGCCACCACGACGACGACCACGATGACGACGACGACCACGACGACCACGACCACGACGACCACGACGACCACGACGACCACGGCCACGACGACGACCACGATGACCACGATCAAGACCAGGGCGACCACGCCGACGACAAAAACGACCACGACCACGACGAAGACCACAACGACCACGCCGACGACGAATACCACGATCACGACAGCCAACACGACGACGACCGCGATTACGACGACGACGACCACGACGACGAAGACCACGATGACGACCACGATGACGACGACGACCACGACGACCACGACCAGGACGACCACGACGACCACGAGGACGAAGACCACGACGACGACCACGATGACCACGATTAAGACCACGGCGACCACGACGACAACGAAACCGACAACGACCACGACCACGACTAAGACCACGACGACCAAGATGACGACGAATATCACGGAGACCACGTCCACGACGACCACGACGACGGCGTCCAAGACGACGACGGCGCAGACCACGACGACGACAAAGACGACCACGACGACCAAGACCACGACAACTACCACGACGACCACGACGACGACCACGACGGCCACACCGACGACCAGGATCACAAACACGTTGACGACCACGACGACCACGACGCCAACGACGACCACGACGAGTACGACCACGACCACGACGACGACGACGACCACGACCACAACGATCACGACGACGACGAAGACCACGACGACCACGACAACGACGATCACGACGACGACGACCACGATGCCCACGACGACGAAGACCACGACGACCACAACGACGACGACCACGACGACGACCACGATAAAAACCACGGCGACGACGTCCACGACAACCGCGACGACGACCACGACGACCACGACGACGACGACCACGGCAACGACGACAACGACGACAGCAACGACCAGGACCACGACGACGACCAAGACGTCCACGTCCACGACGACCATGACGACCACGACCACGACGACCACGATGACGACGACGACCAAGACCACGACCACGACGACGATCACGACCACGACAACGACGACAACAACCACGACGACCACGACGACCACGACGACGACCACGACGACCACGGCGACCACGACGACCACGACGACCATGACCACGACGACGACGATCACGACGACCACGACGACCACGGCGACAAAGACAACGACCACGACGACGACGACCGCGACGACCACGACCACGACGACCACGACCACCACGACGACGACAAAGACAACGACGACGGCCGCCACGACGACCTCGATCACGAACACGACGACGACGCCAACGACCACGACGACGACCACGACTACCATGATGATGACGAATACCACAACAACCACGACGACGACGACCACGACGACGCCGACGACGACCACCACGACGACGACCACGACGACGACAATGATGACCACGACGACAACGACCACGACGAGCACGACCACGACGACGACGACGACAACGATGACAAGGACGACCACGACGACCAAGACCAAGACCACGACGGCGACGACACGACGACAGCCACGACGACATCGAATAGGATCACAAGATCACCACGACCACGACCACGACGACAACGACGACGACGACACCGCCGAGCACGCCGACGACCACGATGACGACGACAACGGCGACCACGACGACGAGGACCACGACGATGACGACCACGACGACCACGACAACGGCGGCGACGACGACCACGACGACCACGATGACGACGACGACGACGAAGACCACGACCACGATGCCAACGACCATGACGACGACAACGACGACCACGACGACGACGACGAAGACCACGACGACCACGGCGACCACGACGGCCACGACGACCACCACCACGACGAACACGTCGGCCTCCACGACGACGACGACGACGTCCACGATGATGACGACCACGACCACGACCACGACGACCACGACTGAGTCGACCACCAAGGCGACCACGATGACGACGACGGCCACCAAGACGACCACGATCACGACCACAACGACGACGAAAACGACCATGACGACGACGACCACGACGACCACGACGACGAAGACCTTGACGACCACGACGACTACAACAACCACGAAGTTGACGACCAGGACGATCACGACAACGACGGCGAAGGCCAGGACGACCACGACGACCATGACGACCACGACGACCACCACGACGACGACGATGACGATGACGATCACGACCACGACGACTACGTTCACGACCACGACGACGACTACGACGTCGACGACCATGAAGACCACGAGGACCGCGACGCAAATCCGAGAGTTCTCGCGCGGCAACTTGAGATCCAATGTGCTTCGGATTCGCGTCGGACTTACTCCGAGTGCCCGTCTGGTTTCTGTTGGACCTACATCGTAATGGAACGTCGTCGCGCGAACGTGGCGACCCAGGCCCGCTGGCGTGATGGGACGCAGGCCATTAGACATTGCACCGCGCAACTTGCACACGATAGCTTACACCACGCATCTTGCAACGGCCAGCTTGCACAACATAACAACGACCGCATTGCCTACACCACATAGCTTGCACCGCATAGCTTATACTACATGCAATGTGCGACAAAATTTACACACCATAGCTTGTATCTAGCTCACATTTCCACATTGCGGTAACGTTATGGTTTGGGTCCCAACTGGCAAATATCATCGGGTGCACTTCGTCCCAGGCGATGCAACAGACACCATGATACATACACAAACAATGTTAAGTCTGGATGGTGACGGACGAAGATGTACGTAGTAGGTTGTAGGCGGGGTGCGGCTAAGCTAAATATGCTGGTGGATTAGTGCAAGGGTGAGTCAATAGTTGGGTGGGCGGGGGAGGGACAGAAAGCCAGGAACACGATCCTGATGATGCTGATGATGCTTTCTAAACTCTTCCGGAGATCACGTCGTAGGGAGGCACCTCTGGAAAGGCTCCCGCTCATCCCACGCCACACGTCACGCAGCGGCGCTGGTCGGGCTGGCCATGTGGAGGCTGCGACTCCTACTCCACCGCGCCCGCCAGGCCGCTGCGACGGCGAGCCCCGAAAGGAGAGCGGGCCCCCCGCTGCGGCAATCGGGCCTGGAATCTGCAGTGGCGCCCCGTGCCGGCGGGAGGTGCCGGCGCCCCCCGGAGGAGGGGCCGGGAACTCATCCACGACTGGCTTACGGGGGATCTTCTGACCTAGTCCAGACCTGGGCCAGTCAGGATCCTGCAGGATCATGCACCCCAGCCCGGGTAAGTGCAGCCCTGGCCCTGCAGGAACCTGAAAAAGAGCTGGCGCTGTGACTGACCCCCGTTTGCATTGGCTTCCGTCTCTTGAGCCCCGATGACTTGCACACGAAGGACTTGCGGGTGCTGACGTACCCGCTTACAGAGGAGACTCTGCCCAGGTGCCTGAGAGCGTCCTGCGAGTGGCGGGGAGCCGGGATCAGGCCACGTACCCCGCGGATATGCTCACGGTGTGCCTGCGCGGCGCAGTGCTGTTACAGTGCAAGTCCATTGGCGAGCCCACG